TCGAGATATCCGCGATCAGGCAAGGATCGTGGCGGAAATCACGTATCAAGTCAGGACCGGTTATTTAGCCCATCATGGGATTTACTTCCGTAATTAGAATTATACCATAAGAAGGATTCCTCTACTATATAAATAGGGCCCTAATCATCTTGCAAAGACCGGACATTGATGCATATCAAAGCAATACAATAATTTTTCTCTAGCTTATATTCTTGTTCATCAGTTAGTTTGTTTCTTAACTATTTTGGGCACCGATCAGTTCGAGGGCACTCAAGCTCGAGGGCCGAATCACGTTTCAAGACTAGTCTGCTTCATCTCATTGTTAATCTATACTGTTAATCTTTACGTTTATCAATTGGTATTAGGTGAAATTACATATTCTTAAAACCATATTATAAGTTTAATTGTTATCCGATATTTAGGGTAAACAGTTTCCTTTTTCTCTTCTATTTTCTGTAAACTACTAAAGTTTGAAGTTCGGAGCCTTGTTCACCTTTAATTTTACTTTCAGCACTTTATTTTAATATTAATAAAGTCAGTATGGCATGAAAAATCATCATATACTGTAGGGCCTAAATAGATCTATCTATAAAATTTAGCTAAATTTAGGGTGCATTAAGTAACTAAGGATTAGTTTATAATATTTACTAAAGGTGTTGGATCATAGAAGATCATGTGCAATAGGCTAATAGGGTTTTCATGCAGAAGATTTAGCAATGATTTCCCGTTTTTCGACAATCTTTGAGTCTCATGACAAAGAATATTTAATGTTATGTTGCTCTAACCAATTCATGTTAAGCAAAATACCCTAATAATGGTAGTTGGAAAACAATCCACAAGTACAATGATTCATAATTGATTGGCGACAAGAATGACAAACATGAACATGAAGGAACAAAATTTCGTGTGAGGTTTAAATATGATTGATGTCAACACACATGTAGTGCATTAAGCACCTTTTTGGTACTCTTCCTTTGCCGAACTCCCCGACCACCAAAGTTAAGATTTAAACTTTATAGGTTTTAAATTTTAGAATGTAATTTAAGTGCTAATAATTACTGGATTTTAAATATAAAATATGTACATATATTTTTGATGAATTCTTTTTAACATAAATATATGACCCAAATTTTAGATCTAGATTTATACAATCAGATTTTATAATAAAGTAGGGTTAATCTTAGTCAATATTAATATCCAAAAGATAGACCAGATATTTTTATAGTAAGATCTCACGTGTGCTATTGAGTAGCATTAAGTGACAACAATAATGATATGATAAATGATTCAAGAATATGGAAGATATCAATAAATAACAATAAATGATATTTAAATAAATAAATGGGCGGAGGTCACCCGAAGAAGGTGAATTCTCCAATAATTCTTCTGACAAGGATAGATAATGATAAGGCTTTGAATATTCATATCCTCCTTGGATCGCGGGAGAAAGAGTAGATAAAGATATGAGAAAAAAGGTGAGCTTTGTGTGTATATGATAAAGGAAGAATGTGCAGAGAATGTTAATGTATTATTTTTTATAATGAATGTCCTCTTCCCTCTAACTACATATCTTTCTATTTATAAGAGTACATGCGCCACAAAACTCTAAATAGTACAACAAGGAGGAATATTCACTGGAATATTCTCTGGAAAATCATAATCATAGAACTAGTTGTTACTGATAAAGGGAGTGCTGGTACTCGTCTTCGTCTTCTGTTGAGGTACCTTGACCTCGTCGACGATATGTTTTCTCATGACATCGACCTTTTGAAGCAAAATCATTATATCTTGTTGACGACACGTGACACCCTTTGAAGGCTTTCTTAATGTCGACTTGGTCCACATATAATTATGGTAATTTTAGCCCATACAATAAAAACATTATTTCAGCAAAAATTAATGGATTTGACCGAATCCGTTCTTAAATAAATGATGTCGCGTGCTACCTCTCCATGGTTGTGCAATTGACATACTAGTCACTTCACTTCAAAGATTTTGAATTGTAATCTTCCTTTCATGATTAATTTGATCGACCAGATGGAAGTATAATAATTAGTGGATGATTAACAATGGATTTGCAAACCTTATTCAGCATGTCTACTCAAGAAAAGTGTTGGGTTTTTAATATATTTAATATATTAAATACTTAAAAGAGGGTGAATGAGAAATGGAGGGAAATGAAATTTTTGAGTGAAATTTCAAGTTTCTCCCCTTGGCAAATGGACATTGTCCCTCATTGGAAGAGGAAGCATTTTTTTATGGGTATATAAGCAATTGCTCTTCTTCTGGCTCTTAAAGAGTTGAGAAGAAAGCAAGCCTCGCGCCATCGTCGTCGCTCGCTCGCTCGGCTTCGACTTCGAATTTGCAAACCTTATTCAGCATGTCTACTCAAGAAAAGTGTTGGGTTTTTAATATATTTAATTTATTAAATACCTAAAAGAGGGTGAATGAGAAATGGAGAGAAATGAAATTTTTGAGTGAAATTTCAAGTTTCCCCCCTTGGCAAATGGACATTGTCCCTCATTGGAAGAGGAAGAGGGTTTTTATGGGTATATAAGCAATTGCTCTTTTTCTAGCTCTTAAAGAGTTGAGAAGAAAGTAAGCCTCGCGTCGTCGCTCGCTCGGCTTTGGCTTTGGCTTCGGCTTCGGTTTCGGCTTCGGTCAAATGATTGATTGATTAATTTTTTGGATCAAATTTATTTGTTAATAGTAAAATATTAACAAAAAAGCCGAGCGAGCGACGACGCCGAAGCCGAGCCGAGCGACGACGACGGCGACGGCGCGAGGCTTGCTTTCTTCTCAACTCTTTAAGAGCTAGAAGAAGCGCAATTGCTTATATACCCATAAAAAACCTCTTTCTCTTCCAATGAGGGACTTTGTCCATTTGCCAAGGGGGGAAACTTGGATTTGGATATCGATTTGGTCAAATGATTGATTGATTAATTTTTTGGACCAAATTTATTTGTTAATAGTAAAATATTAACAGAAATGTTATTAAATATTTATTTTAATAATAGAATATTAATATGAAAATAAATATTAATATTAAATCCAAATCAGTTATCCAGATTTCAGTTTTCTATTTTTGTAACAGAAAATTAACTACCCATCAATTTTCCCTCTTTATTGTTGAGTAAATAGCCATTTATGTAATGGCATTTATGTTGTGGCCGTTTTACAGAAACATCCATTCGGAAGAGTTGCACCTCTTCATATTTCAGCCCAACTTTTGGCTATAAATACAACACTATTCTGCCTAGAATTTCACTACGAATTTCTGAATTTCTTCTCCTTCTTCTGCATACTTTTAGCATAAAACAAAGCAAAAAGTAAGCGTGATTTGCTACCGAACTTTGTGTTCGCTGAAACACCGGGGTTTGGAGTACCACTACACCGGTGTGTAATTCGTCTATCCTGTGAGGAAATAATCCATAACCTTGGGTACTAGAAGGGGATTAAATTCCTTAAGGAAACACTGTGAATTCAGTGGGCTCGAATTGTTTCTATCATTTCTGTTTATATTAATTTATATTTTCAGAATTGTTTTACAAATACAGTTTACTAACAAAAAGCAACATGCCTCACTTGTAAACCCTCTTAACGTTTTGATGATTAAGAGTCTCATGGATAATCATCATTCAATTGACTCACCATGACCAAGAAATTAAGTTAATTAAGTGGCCGGTAATATATATATTCTTTTAAGGGAAAAGGCTCTAATATACCCCTCTACTTTAATAGTACGTTCCCGCCCCCCGTTATACTATCAGGCCTACCGTTAGGAAAGTGAAAAAAGATACCCTTATTTTTAACCCCAGTCCAACAAGGCAATTAAAATGCCATCTGGAATCCAACCTGGACACATCCGATCCGTTACCCGTTAATATAACCCGTTAGATGCCTTCTTCTTCCCAATACCACCATAGGCATAAATTCTAGGGTTCATATCAGAGAATTTTTTTGCTCATCTTCTCTCCTTCTTTCCTCGATTGTGAAATGTCTCAAGGAAGCTCATCTACTCTCGTCTCTCATCAGATTAAGTGCCATTGTGGTATGATAGCAAGAAACTTAACTTCGAAAACTATTTCTAATCCTGGAAGGAATTTTTATAAATGCCCGAAGCCTAAGGTTTGTTGGTCTTATTCTAAGTTTGGTTTTTTCTATTTTCCAGTTGTATAAAGTATAAGTGTTTTAGTCTAAATGTAATTTATTGTTATTGACAAGATTATTCATGTCGATTTTTCTTGTGGGAAGATGAAGTTTTCCCAGTTAATCCTATGATTGCAAATAGAGAATTGTGGTCGACAATGGATGTTGTTATGTTGGATATAGAGAAATTGAAGAAGGAAGTAGCTTCCATGGAGTCTAAAAACCATTCTCAAGTGATTAAAGTTGCAATATTGGAAGAGAAAGATATCAAAGATGTGGATCATTATATTGATAATATTAGGCCTATTTTTGGGGTTCGTTGCTGCTTCAATGAATAACTAATTAGCTTAGGAGATGTGTTCATTGTAATGTTAGCTCTAATATTAGGTTGCATTGCTACTTAGCTGCTTTGTATTGTTAATGTTTCCAACTAATGAAATACTGGTTATTTTTGTTGTTTAAGTATAAAGTTTTCTTGTATCATACTTCCCTTTATCACAAACACAACATAACTTCAACATAATGAAATACATAACTGGGCAGTCAGCATAACTTCATTAAATATCAGCTAACACTTCATTAAAAATCAGCTAACACTTCATTCAACAACATAAACATAACAGTTACATAACTTCATTCATAGACAACATAATTCAACATCATTCTGTTGAAGGGACCCAAAAGGGATGTCACTTTATAACCCCAAAAACTCATACCACCCAAGTAATAAAATGACATCCACCTTGAAATGTTTAAGTTAAAGGACCTAAAAGTTAAGTTAAAAGTACTGTCACATGCAGTAATTACATCAATCCAAGACACCAAAAACCATTCACATGTTCAGAACTTGACTAGTTCTGTTCATTTCCATTTCCCTTCCTTGACTTCATCTTGGCTAGTCGTTGCCTCTCTAATTGGTTTCCTGTTATGGCATCTTTTCCTCTCCATGTAAGATTTTTGGGTGAGTAAGGAAGTTGTGTTGGCAAACTCATACAACTGGCATCACCAACAAAGTTAATAGTCCTTGTTCCAGTTGTTTTGCCTAGTTGCTCCCTCCTTTGGAGTCTAGTCTTTGCCTCTGACACATGCCTTGGCATTATAAGTGGGTCTGGATTGTCTGCTTCAGGATAGTCAAAATCAGCTTCTGCATTGCTGATTGATTGCTTCCTAGACAGGGATGGTGTTGGCATAAAGATGTATTGAGGTCCAGAATTGTTGGTTGCTTGACTGGCCTAACTGGCTTGTGGTGTTGTTAGTTGCAGCTCCTCTTCTAAGGACAGCCCTGCTGTCACGACCTTAGTTCACCAACCGTGAACATGTCATGACGACACCTGGTCCCCATGACCAGGTAAGCCTATTATTGCGGAAACATAATAATTGCGGAAAGATAGAGAAAATCAAATTAAATATCTAAAAGGAAATTGTACTAAATGCCGCCCGGTATGTACAACTTGATAACACAAATCCAAACAATTCCCAAAACCCGAAACTCACGGGCAACACAGGCTACAGAAATGTATAGTATGGTTCCAAAACTCCAGAATATTCTAACAACCGAAGAGAGAAAAACTAAATACTAAGGATAGAATAAGAGGGAAACTCGTCGGTCTGCGGACGCAGCGGATCTACCTCGAAGTCTCCGAAATCCTCATGCCTCACTGATAGTGCGCCTGAGTGGAGGTACCTGAATGATCTGCACATGAAAAACATGCGCAGGAAGGGCATAAGTACACCACAGCGGTACTCAGTAAGTGCCAAGCCTAACCTCGATTGAGTAGTGACGAAGAAAGGTCAGGGCCCTACTGAGGCAAAAATATAACAAGAGCAATAATTAACAATATGGAAAATCTGACAGAAATAATAAATACAGCGGTGTAATAAGGCAAGTAAAGGAAAACAATAATAACTACAAGGATAGAGTAAATCACAGAGTAAACACAACTCAATGTCAAAGATACCAACGAGGGTCTCCTAGGATGCCGTCCTGTAGCCCTTTCCACAACTGTCCAGTGGATCTCCCGGAATACCATCCCGTAGTCCAACTCACGTACCAATACCAAAGGATCTCCCGGGATACCGTCCCGTAGTCCAATCATCAATGTGCAGGGGGATCTCCCGGGATACCGTCCTGTAGTCCCAAAGTAAAAATGCAGGGGGATCTCCCGGAATCGAACCCTTAGTCCCAAAGTAAACAAACAAGGGGGGAGCTACCGGAGTCCCACATCCGTAGTCCCAATGTAAATGCGCAATCACAGCCAAAAACAACCCAAGGAATAAGGTACAAAAGACAAACACAGATAGAACTAGCCCAGCATGCTTCACGTAGTGCAGTCAAAATAATTTAAGCAAGTATGCAGTCAAATCAGCTAAACATGCTTTTTTCCTAATCTAGCATAAGTCATAACTCCAAATAGAACAAGGCAATAAGGATAAGAACTAAGTTTTCCATAGCTTAAGTAAAAACCGGGATTTCATCAATTGGCTCAAGTACGCGCTCGTCACCTCACGCACAAGGCACTCAAATATCAAGTAAAATCCTAAGGGGAAAAGTCCCCTACACAAGGTTAGACAAGCCACTTACCTCGAACCGGCTCAATATCACTAGAAACCGCCCCTTTGCCACGAGTATCCGACTCCAAATGGCCCAAATCTATTCAATTCAATTACACACCATAAATAATATTGCAAACAACTGATTCCACTATTAAATTTAAAGCTAGGGCGCAAAAATAGGTAAAATGACCAAAATGCCCCTCCAGCCAACATCTCGGAATCGAATAACTTTCATGTTTTCAGAACCCTCGTACTCTCACGAGTCTAACCATATAAAAATCTCCCAAATCGGAGGTCAAATGCCCCCTCAAAACCCTATAGCTAGGTCTAAGAAGTTTTACCCAATTTTCATTCAAAAATCCGAAATTAAAGGGTGAATTCGCGATTAGATTAATAGGTTTTAGTCATAGGAGAGTAGAGAATCGTTACCCAGTGATTGCCTTTGAAAAACCCTTGAAATTGCTCCCAAATTCGAGCTCCAAACCTTAAGTTTTGATAAAAATGGCAAAACCTCGTTTTTGAAATGTTAATTACTGCCCAGGTCAGTTGTTCATCACGAACGCGGAGAATGGCACGCGTTAGCGGAGAAGGGAAAATTTAAGTGACCAAAAATGCCCTTCGCGATCGCAAAGGTAAGGCTGTGATCGCGAAGGCTTGGGATTTAAAGCTACGCGATCGCGACAAGGCTCACGCGAACGCGTATAAGGAATCAGATGAGGTCTAGAAGTTGACCTATGCGAACGCGTTGACTGGGACGCGAACACGGAAGAGGGAATTGCTGAACTTCGCGAACACGGGGTATGGGACGCGATCGCGGTGAAGGGAAAGCTACAGCTACGCGAACGCGGTTGCTTCTTCGCGATCGCGAAGAAGGACTTCAGACCTGCAATTTTCTGCAACATTTCCAAACTTCAAATTGCTTCGTTGAGCATCCGAAACACACTCGAGGCCCCCGTGACCTCAACCAAACCTACTGACATATCCCATAACATCATTCAAACTTGTACCAATCCTTAAACCACCTAAAACAACGCCGGAAACACGAATTAAGCAAAGATTCAAGCCTAACAACTTCAAATTCCAACCAAACACACTTTCGATCAAAAACCTAACAAAACCGCGCCCGAGTGACCCAAAATTTTGCACACACATCCCAAATGACATGATAGAGCTACAGCAACTTCCGGAATTCAAATCCGACCCTCGGATCAAAAACTCACTATCGGACCAGAAACTTCAAAAATTCAAACTTCGGCATTTCAAGCCTAAATGAGCTACGAACCTCCAAATACATTCCGAACACGCTCCCAACCTTGAAATCACCTAACGGAGCTAACGGAACCATCGGATTTCCATTCCGAGGTCGTCTTCACACTGTTCTGAATACGGACCATTTTCCAACTCTTAAGCTCCCATTTAGGGACTAAGTGTCCCAAAACACTCTGGATCCTAACTCCGAACGTCCCGGCAAACCAAAATAGCAGAAATGAACTTAGGGGAAGCAGTAAATGGGGGATCGGGGCGTAAATTCCAAAAACAACCGGCCGGGTCGTTACATCCTCCTACACTTAAACATTCGTTCGTCCTCGAACGAGCATAGAGAACATACCTGAGGTAGTAAAAAGATGAGGGTACTGGCTGCGCATATCCTGCTCGGTCTCCCAAGTCGCCTCCTCGGCCGGCTGACCCTGCCACTGAAACTTCACTGAAGCTATGTTCTTTGACCTCAACTTTCTGATCTGTCTGTCCAAAATAGCCACTGGCTCCTCAACATAGGATAGATCCTTGTCCAACTGGACTGAACTGAAATCCAACACGTGCGATGGATCACCGTGATACCTCCGGAGCATCGAAACATGAAACACCGGATGAACTCCGGCTAGGCTGGGAGGTAAGGCAAGCTCATAAGCAACCTCTCCAACTCGCCTCAAGATCTCAAAAGGGCCAATAAACCTCGGACTCAGCTCTCCTTTCTTTCCAAACCTCATGACGCCTTTCATAGGCGAGACCCGAAGCAGAACCTGCTCACCAACCATATATGAAACATCACGAACCTTCTTGTCCGCATAACTCTTCTGTCTGGACTGGGCTGCACGGAGTCTATCCTGAATCACCTTAACCTTCTCCATTGCATCCTGGACCATCTCTGTGCCCAATAGCCTGGCCTCACCCGGCTCAAACCAACCCACCGGAGATCTACACCTCCTACCATATAAAGCCTCACGGCGCCATCTGAATGCTGGACTGATAACTGTTGTTATAAGCAAACTCCGCCAGTGGCAGGAAATGATCCCATGACCCTCCAAACTCAATCACGCACGCACGGAGCATATCCTCCAGAATCTGAATAGTGCGCTCGGACTGTCCGTCCGTCTGGGGGTGAAATGTCGTGCTTAACTCCACCCGAGTGCCAACTCCTGCTGTACGGCTCTCCAGAACAGCGATGTGAACTGAGTACCTCTATCTGAGATGATAGAAACTGAAATACCATGCAAACGGACGATCTCCCTGATATAAATCTCCGCCAACCGCTCCGATGAATAAGTGGTACACACAGGAATGAAATGAGCGGACTTGGTCAGCCGATCCACAATGACCCAAATAGAATCAAACTTCTTTACAGTCCGTGGGAGTCCAGATACGAAGTCCATGGTAATACACTCCCACTTCCACTCCGGGATCTCTATCTACTGAAGCAACCCACTCGGACGCTGGTGCTCATACTTCACCTGCTGGCAGTTGAGGCATCTAGACACGTAGTCAACTATATCCTTCTTCATCCGCCTCCACCAGTAGTGCTGCCTCAAGTCCTGATACATCTTCGCGGCACCCGGATGGATGGAATACCGCGAGCTATGGGCCTATGCTAGAATTAACTCTCGAAGACCATCAACATTGGGCACACAAATCCGGCCCTGCATCCTCAATACCCTATCATCCCCGATGGTCACATCTCTGGCATCACCACGCTGAACTCTGTCCTGAAGAACAAGCAAATGAGGGTCATCATACTGCCGCTCCCTGATATGATCAAATAGGGAAGACCGAGAAACCACACAGGCTAGAACCCGACTGGGCTCCGAAAGGTCCAATCTCACGAACTGGCTGGCTAAGGCCTGAACGTCCATCGCCATAGGTCTCTCTGAGGCTGGTAAATATGCCAAACTCCCCAAACTCTCCGCCCGGCGACTCAAGGCGTCGGCTACCACATTGGCCTTGCCCGGGGTGATAAAGAATAGTAATATCATAATCCTTTAACAACTCTAACCATCTCCTCTGACGCATATTCAGGTCCTTCTGCTTAAGCAAGTGCTGCAAACTCCGATGGTCAGTATAGATATCACAAGGCACCCCGTACAAATAATGACGCCGGATCTTCAAGGCATGAAGAATAGCAGCTAACTCAAGGTCGTGGACAGGGTAGTTCTTTTCATGTACCTTCAACTGCCTGGACGCGTAGGCAATCACCCTACCGTCCTGCATCAACACCGCTCCAAGTCCAACCCGTGAGGCATCACAATAAACTGTATAAGACCCCGAACCGGTAGGCAGCATCAAGATTGGGGCTAAAGTCAAAGCTGTCGTGAGCTTTTGGAAGCTCGCTTCACACTCCT